CTGTTCTGGATGACCTGCACGAAGCTCGAGCTGCCACCCCCAGCAGCGGCCGTCGCCTCCGAACGCTCTGCTCCTCGTTCTTTCGAACCCCTCTGCTGGTCGTATGCAGGGAAGCGGGCTCGCTCCTGTGGCGACCAAGCTCTGTAAGAGCCCCGCCAATAGCGCCCACCGCCACTGCCTTGCTGGTTCCGACCTTGACCGCCTTGCCATGACTTGCCTCCCATGTGCCCGTGGTGTGACGCTAGCAAGGCGCAGTCTTTGCGTGAGGGCTGTCGGCCCAAGAGTTTGGCCTGCCTCACGCGTTGAGTGGCTCGGCTCCGACGAAGTCGCAGGCGACGGTGCCAGCTAGGGCTCCAAGGATACTTGCCTATCCTGATGGCTGTCGCGCTCCTCGCGCGTGGGGCTACGATCTTACGCCAGCTGTTAGGCCATTCGAGCCCTCCAAAATAGTGTAGGCAATTATTAAGGCCCCTATATGGGTAGTTTTCTAAATTAGGGTCCATTTTAGGGTCCTTATTGTAAGGGTGCCGTACTATATTGGGGACCTAAAAGGGACCCTACTTTACAGAACTACCCATATTGCAAGGACGGAGCAGGTCGGTATTGCCGCAGCACGGCGTGGAAGCACAGTCCTTCTGGCGGGACATGGCCAGCAACAAAACGGTATCGAATTGAAGATGTGAACTCGTCTGAACATGACATCTGATGGTTTAGGGTTTAGGGTTTAGGGAACCTTTTAACGACAAAACTCGAATTATTGGGACGTCACCCATCGTGTCTCCATGTTACTGTCTGCTTCCAGTCTGCTGTCTCTGAGCATCAGCTTCGAACGGCGACAAGCGTTAGCATCGGCATGGGCGTCCGCCAGCTTATGACGAGCAAACATTCTTTGATAACACAACATGGGGTGATTCGTCTGTTTCCAATCGATTTCTGCTCTCCTAAGCTGTCGGGATCACCCCGCAAGCCTACATGCCTCAAGGCTAAGGCAAAGCGGTAGAATAATGATGTCACAATGTTGACTCCAAGCTGTTCCGCTGACAACCACGCTCAGCTCCGACGTCGAAACAAATGAAGATTTAGAGCTTAGGCTCGCATACTCAATTTTTCGCTGAGATTCAACCGGTGGTGAAATGAAAAGCCAAGGCAGAAACCGCCGGTTTCTGTCAGCAAAGCAAGACTCAGAGAGCCCTGAAACCCGCCCGGACATGCAGTCCCTGCCATAACCTCTATACTTTCCTTGGTGAGATTCTCAGGCCCGGGGGATGGACTGTCTTTTTGGTGGGATGGGAATATCTAATGAACCCTTAAGGCCCTAATCCCCCTTTCACAGCTCTAAACCCTAAACCCTAAACCCTAAACCCTAAACCCATTAGGCCTTCAGTCGGCCCCAATCCCCCTTTCACAGCTCTTTTCGTCTCCTAGCTCCGACGCATTTCAAGGTCCGATTCCGGGCCCCTCCAGGCGTGGCACGCACTCCGGCTTCGTTGCGTTTGAGCGGCTCGGGATTGGAGTTTGGGGTTTAGGGTTTAGGGAGTTGAGGATTTCAGGGTTCCGGGTTCTTTGTTTGAGGGGTTAAGATTTAGCTCGTCGTCGGCTTCAGGATTTAGGTGCTGGATCGTAGAGCTTATAGGCGTTAGACTCATGCAATGGTTCGGGTTTAGACGGGGTCTCTGATTAGCATTCAAGGTGTAGGGGCTAACACTGGTTTAAGGGTTGAGAGTTGAGAGCTTAAGGCTTCAGGATTTCCCGGCTTCGGGCTTCGAGGGTGTCGGGGTTTAGGGTTGAGTTGTTTGGGGTTCAAGGAGCATTTCTAGATCTAGAGTTTCAGATATTGAGAGTGCCATCTAGTCTACGGAGCTCTCCTTGATTTCCTCTCACGGCATCACGGCATTAAAGTCTTCTTGCAGGACATACCAGAGTCTCCAATGCCAGCCCAGGGTGACATGGCGCGAGAAGAATCGTTTCCTGCTGGATCTCAACGTACCGTAATGACCTCTCCGAGACATGCTAGAATCGTGGGGTCTGATGCGATGCCGAAATCAAACTTTTGCACGATGTTGTCTGCTATTCTCTTTGTACTGGGCTCACCACAGATGATCGGGCAGGAACGTGCTCTCCGCGGCCACTTCTCAATAATCGAAAACGAAGCTCCAAGGGCATTCTTAGGGTGCTGGGTTGTTGCGTGTAAAGCGCTTGAGGCAGGCAGGGCCTGTGCCCTCAGAGATCTTCCTGCCCGTAAGGACAGCTACGATAAGCAGGCGACAGCTCTTCTTGCTTGTGGCTGCTGAGTTCTGAGGCTGTGGTTGGTCGCTGGTGCTACATAACACCACCGCGCTGCTGTCTCATGTGCTACGATGGTCTGCCCAGCCGCGAACCACAGTTCCTGCGGTACTTGAGATCGGGTCTCGAGAATCTGCTCAAGGACGAAAGCAAGCGCAGGAAAGGTGGCTCAAAGTTGAAAGTGTCTGGAGCTGGACATTGAGGTCAATGGGGCAGCGTAAGGTCTGGACCCGTAAACTTAAGTGAGGGCGGGGGCGTGGCTGGGACTAAAAGCTCGCCAGCACAATTCAACCAGCTTAACTCATAACCTGCTCCTGCAACATACACTTTAAACCCCTAACTGCCCCAAACCGTGGCGAGTCCTCATTCAAGTGGAACTCAGGGGCCCTGCTTCTCACGGCCTTGGGATGCATCATACCGGCAGCAGAAGCAGCAGTAGTAGCACTCGCAGTAGTAATAGTAGTCGTCGTCTCGTTGTCGTCGTTGTCATCGTGGCGGCGGTGGCGGCGGCGGCGGTGGTGGTGGTGGTGGAAGTAGTAGTAGCCGTCGTAGTAGTCGTAGTAGTAGTTGTTGTAGGAGGAGGAGCAGGAGTTGTTGTTGTTGCTGCTGCTGATGTTGCTGTTGTGGTGCTGTTGCTGTTGTTGCTGTTGTTGTTGTTGTTGGTGGTGGTGGTGGTGGTGGCGGCGGCGGTGGTGGTGGTGAAGCAGTAGTATATAGTAGCAGTGATGGTGATGAGGAGGAGGAGGAGACACTGCAGGTATGTATATACCTGATGAAGAGTAAGACATCTGTGTGTGTACATATATATATATGCATACATATATATATATAATACATGGAACTCTTCATTAAACACTGTTTTCATTGTAGATGGGGTTAGATGAGAACCGAAAAGATGCGACTAGACTAGATTAGACTAGCTTAGATTAGCTTGTACCTGCTACAGACAGAAAATGGTCCTGTATTGTAGTGCACTGTTCCATGCTATGGTTTTGCATTGTATTGCATGGTAGTCTACGCTAGTAGTTATATGATGCTAAGGGAATCATGGACATACATCTAAGCATATGCATATACATATGCATATGTATGCATGCTTTATATACACACACACACACCCATGAGGTCCTACAAACCGGATCGTCAGCACTAGCATCATCACCTTGCTGCTACTGCTACTACTACTACTACTACTACTACTACTACTACTGGCAATCATGCAGCTCAGTCGCCACAGTGTGTTTGGTCTTGTACTCTCGTCTGGCGGAAATGCTAAACCTATCACCAAGCTCCCTTAAAGCCCTATGGAACCCGATGAAACCCCTTATAAAACCCTTAGAACACCGAATGAGTATCAGATTGCAACACTTCGAGGCCCTGACCGCCCCCATGGCTGTGACCATGACCGGGGCTCTCGTGAGCGTGGCCGTGGGCACTTTCGTGACCGTGACCATGGCCGTGGGTGGGGGTGTCGCCGTGACCGTGGCCTTCCAAATGCTCGGATAAGTTCCCACATATCTCTATGTATATATATATATATATGTATGTATGTGTATATATATATATATATATATACATATATGTATACATATGGGTTTAGGTTGAGGGTTTGGGGCTCAGGGCATGTGGCCGCAGAGACAGGAGGATCTAAAAACCCAAAAGACATGCGCGGACAGCCTGGAGAGCGTGCTGCTGTGCACACGGCTTCTGACAGAGGCAATACGACAAGAGAGGGAGAGACCCAGGCCAGCTCCAAGTAAGGGTTTAGGGTTTAGGGTTTAGGGTTTAGGGTTTAGGGTTTAGGAAAGTTTAGGGTTTAGCCCCAAGCTTTCCAACTCTGAAGTTGAGACCCGGCTCCTAACCTAGGCAAGAACCACAAACAAAGCGGCCTTGCAGCATGCGCTCCTGAGCCTCGCACGACAAGGCTCTGCATACGAGTCTTCAGCACAATGACTGAAACGTGCAAAGGCATCAGGAATTGGGGTTTAGGGTTTACCGTTTAGGGCGTAGGATATTTCACAAGACCGGGGAAGGTGCAGCGAAGGTTCTGCTTGTTGCCAACGCAAAGCCTTACACCCCACTCCAAACCCTAAACCTCCAAACCCTCAACCCCTAGACCCCATGAACACCCTAACCCCCGTACTGGAAAGGTTACTATATCAGGCCCTATAAGACTTACTCTACTCAAGGGCTCTGTAATGGGGTACCTACAAAAGGGACTGTAAGGAATACGGAGGCCCCGACATTCCCATGGCATTCAACTGAAGACTGCCAAAAACGAAACTCGATTCCGCAAGAGAAGGGCCACTGATGTGGTGACCATGTGGGGTTGCAGGTTTTGGAGCTGTCGGTGTAGGGTTTAGAGATTTAAGGTTATCGCAGTTCGCGCTGCTAATGAAGTCAATTCTACTTTTGCTCGTGTTTCTACGTTTTTGACTCGCATTTACCATGGTTTCTGGTCGTCTTCGTTCATGGTGATTATGAGCACATGAAAGAAACCGACTGGGTGTGGCTATACTCTCGGAGCACACTAGGTAATGCTGCAGCGAAGCAACCTAAACCCTAAACCCTAAACCCTGCCACTCCCAAGGCCAGTACGCCGCGGCAATTGATAGCACCCCAGTGTGAACGCTCACTCACTGAAGCGAGCGGATGCCTAGCTTCGCCGTCAATGGGAGAGACCAAACAGCACATAAAACCGTAAACCCTAAACCCCTCAACCCTAAAACCCCCCCAAACCCTAAACCCTAAAAGCATCTGCCGTGAGTAAGCCGGCCCCACCTCTTTGACCATGGCCATTTGCGACCTCGGGCGGGGCTGGGCCGGGGCTTGGAGCTTGGGGTTTGGGACTTAGTGTTTTAGGGCTCAGGGAGTTTAGGGTTTCGGGGTTTAGAGTTTCGGGCTTCGGGGTTTCAGGGTTTCGGATTTTAGGGGTTTAGCGCGTAGAGTTTTAGTGTTTAGAGCTGCGGATGCGGCTATGGGTTAACGGGTTGGAGGCCTTAGGCTTCAGGGACCACAGCCATCTCTGACCCCCCCGGCCCCGGCCTCTCGGACTATGATAGCTGTCGCAGTAAAATCTGAATGATGATGACGATGATGGTGATGATGATGAACATCATCATCATGAAGAGGATGAGGATGAGGAGGAGGAGGAGGAGGACATGGTGACTATGACTATGCTAGTCATGCTGCAGCAGCTGAGCTGAGCTATGTAAACCGCCTGTAGGAAGTTAATATCTCTGGAGGCTGTTTTTTGATTTTGCTCGAAAACAAGCCGGGGCTGGCCTCCAAAGGCCTAGCCACGAAATCCTGAAGCAACAAGGAGCTGAGAAGACCGGGCTTATTATTCCTGCACCGAAAGTTGACAGCAAGATCCAGGAGCATTGCTCCCTCCCAAATCGCCGAGGAGGACTTAGATCCCGGCGGATGTCCCTGCACGCGGTAGTGCAGCACTTCCCCCCTCTCCTCGAAAGCCTGGCCAAGGAGATGAGATCAGGTTCTAAAACCGAAACTACCATGATGCGCATGCTTATGAAATCCGCCCCAAAAAGAGCTCCTAACTTGGAGACACAACCAGGTGCTGCCCGTCTATCCCGAGCAGGGCATCAGATGACAGAGAGCCTCTTCCTTCGAAGTTGTCGTTGATTGTAGGTTTGGGGATTACGTATCTGATGCGTTCCGTTTGCAAAGGCCCAGCCCATGCCTTTTGCGGACAACTACAGCAGCAAAGCGCAGAAGGAGCCAGCAAGGCCACCCAACGGAAACCTGCTGATTCCACAACGCGACCTCTGGAGATCAACTCCAGATGCCCCCCCCAGCCCGATTGTGGCTTGGAGTTAGGGCTTAGGGGTTTAGGGTTTAAGGTTTATGCCCTTAACCCGCATCCCCAAACCCTCAACCCTAAACCCTAAACCTCCACGGATCCAGACTCCGGCATAAACCCGCCTTGTTGAAGGGCCAGAGACAGATCCATACTATGATGGTATTCTATAGAGTACCACTAAAGGATAGCCCCGGACGTTAAAAAGGGCGCTCGGATGTCTAGAAATTACATATGTTACCCCTATCGTCCGCACACTCCAAATCGCCCCCATACACTTGTACTATAAAACAGGCCCCCAAAACTCCAATCATTAAGGGCCCTCGTTTTGCTGGGAGGGGGCCGCCTTGGTGAAGTCATCCATGTCTAGGCCGAGGTCTTCAGTAGCACTGCCGTGCATTCCCTCGTTCTTCTGCCTTGGGACAGCAGACATGGGTCTGGATAGGGTTTAGGGTTTAGGGGTCAGGTCGGGCTGTCTTATGGTTACGCAGGATTTAGGGCTCAGGGTTTAGAGCTTAGGGCCTAGAGCCTAGGGCTCGGCGCTTCGCGCTGTAGCTTTGGGTGCAGACTCTCAGACCTGTTTCTTGGGAAACTGTGATTTGGGAGCTGGCTGTGGATGTGTTGGACCGTGGGGATATTCAGGGTTTAGGGTTTAGGGTTAGGGTTTAGGGTTTAGGGTTTAGGGTTTAGGGTTCAGGAATTAGGCTTTGGGGCTTAGGGGGGGAAAGTGAAGGCTCTGGTATGGCAGGCTGTGCATTGACAAGCGGAACCGATGCCGAGCACCCAACTTCAGCTGATTCCACCGCTGCTTCAGAGACATGAAGACTTCGATGGTGAAGGCCTGGCAGATCAGCACAAAGCTCCAGGTTCGTTGGATCTGGAACAGATCGAGGCTGTGACCAACATTTCGTGCTGGAACATCACACTTACATGACCAGCCTTCACCAGCTCGAAGACGATGCTGACACCACAGACGTAGAAGACCGGGAACATGATCCTGATGTTGGTGTTCGGGGTGCCAGAGCCCAAGGTTCGGAATTCACCGCGCGAGCCGTCGATCGTCTGAAACATGAAGATGCTAGGCATGTCACACAGATTGAAATCATTGCGAGAAAGTTGTACTAAAACCGATGTGACGATGGCACTGCCGTGCTTTGACAGTGCATCGCTCAACCCTAAACCCTAAACACGACAGATGTCTGCAAACAGCCGAAGCGTAAGAAGCCAATCCCCGCAGGCGTGTCCAGCTGAAGGGAATCGAGGATGTCCTGGAGACGGCCTGACGCCCAATGAGGGGAAGGTTTAGGGTTTAGGGTTTAGGGTCCTGTTTCCCAAGCCCCAATGAACCCCAAACCTTCAGGGAGTACTACTGAAGGAGAAAGAGGGGTCCAACCCCAGCACCCACTTACCTCAACATGCGCTTTTGCACGAAAGCTTCGATTTTGCCGGCGCATGCAGTATTGGGTGGAGGTCATGTCTGGGAATGCACAGAGAGGGACGGAGAGTGAGAGAAGGAGAGGGTCAGACAGAGGAGAGATGGAGAGATAGAGAGCGAGGGAGAGTAGCGCAGGGAAAGCTTGAACCTTGCGCTTCGAAGCTTCTGCACACCCTTGCTCACACGCTCCCGCACGCACAAGGCCAACTAACCCGAAACGCTGGAATCCAACATGCAAGCACACTCAACCCCCCCACACATCCCCCGGAAAGCCTCTGGAAAGTTCGGCTCGTATTCGCAGAGGAGCATGACGAACCAGACCCTTTGCTGCAACTGGGTAACTGCCAGAAGTAGACGAGCATGCTTCCCTCGCTCAAGCTTGGAATGAGTGATGCAGGTGCAAACTTAGAAAGTGGACGAAACCTCGTGGCACTGGCACTAGAAGCAAAACCAGAAGACTCCCTCCTCGGTCCGGCCATGCTTGAAACCAACACAGCTGCACTGATCGCGTGAGACCCACGCCCGAAGGCAGATGGCACATCGTTGAAGTTGAGCACCAGCATGTGCTTCTCCAGGTACTCGGTACCCTTCGAAAGCCGGGCCCTAAACCCTAAACCCCATGAACAACAAAGTCCAGCCCCTTAGACTCCAAGACGAAAGCTTCCGGAGCTTTGCTACGCAAGTTCAATTTTCCAAACTACCCTGAAAACTACAACGCTCCAACCCTAAAACCCCCTTCACCAAAAGAAACAGAAAAACTAAGAACGCGATAAGCCCTAAACTGCAACCCTAAAAATCCATCAACCCGGTCGGGGAGCCCTGGTAGAGCTTTGAGATTCCCCAAAAATGCCGAGAGCCAAACCATGAGCCCCTCCGAGCCTCAACGCTTTATTGAGGATTTAGGGTTTAGGGGTTT